TTTTTTTTTTTTTTTTTTTTTAAGGAATTTTAAATTGAAGGTCGTACTGAACGTACGTAAGTAAAAGTAGAACGTAGACTGGAATTATTTAACGAGTGTTAAATAGTTAAATTTAAAAAAAAAAAACTTCTTCACAAAGAACAATTTTCTCGCGGAAAGAGGATCTCTTCAAATAAATACACTTCTCTCGTGATTAACACGGGATAATAAAATAAAGATAGGAATTAAATAATGAATTTTCGCGATGTCAGCTGATAATCCTGGAGTGACCGCTCACATGATCGCCAAGGACGCACTAGGATTGATACGACAGGATGTCGGTGGTCGTCACGGAGAACTTCTTGCCGGCCTTCTTGATTTACTGAGACACTTGACCCTCTCTGGCCCTCCATCCGAAAGATCAGAGCTACGTGGTTCGCCGCTTCCGATTGCACTGCTCCCAGTCTTTTTCACTTTGACGGTAAACGTACGATGTATATATATATATATAGCGTATTCTTAAGACGACTAACCTTCGATCCTGGACGTATTTGACATTAGCTACCACGACCAAAACCAGTGTCAAATTGCTCCGGTACGTGCTATCAGGATCTGGCTTCTCGTATTATTCTTCCCTCTGCCATATTGCGCATCTCTTTCTTAAGCTCTCAAGTAGCTTAAAGTAAGATTTATGACTCTTCGCACTTTACGAGTTGATTGTTATTATTGGAGCGAATTTATAAAAGTCACAGATATTTTATCACGTGTTATTGTTGTTTCTAGTGTGTCATTATTTTAAATAATTATTTTAATTATCAAGAATATTTGTTACGTTACAGAACGGTCGAACGAATAGTAAAAAGCTAAATTTTCCCAACTTGAATTAATGAACAATTTAAGAAATTGTATAAATTACTTGTTTCATAAATTTCAATTGTTTGTTCTTGTCTATTTTGAAAAGTATAAATTGCCTCTTGTCTATTGTGCACAGACGGAGCAGTTAATGCTCAAGTGGCGCTAGTGTCGCATCACTAGTCCTTATATAGGGCTGTGTAGGCACAGCCTAATTGAACAGAATACTCATGCATAATAAATCTTTTATCAGTTACTGTGGAAGTTGTATTCGATTTCTATTAAATTTCTACGAAATTAGCAATTCTCTCATTACAAAGTAACAAAGAAAAAAATCCAGTTTTTTTTCATTCATGATGAATGGATAGTAAACACCGTTAATAATATAATTATAGAAACGAAAGCATAAAGACAAAGCAAGTATAAATTATAACAAAATCAAATCGCTGTTATTGATAATCACTTCATTCACAATTCAATAGAAACCTATTCAATTCATTTGTAATCGTCTCTTGCTCGCGAGCGTTTTTACGCGAGGGACTGTATTAATTCTTGAGATCCACTCGAGCGGAGTGGGATCGTCGATTGATGGGGAAGAGGGGCCAGAAACAGCTCGAGAAACGAGTCGCAATGCAGATCGACGAGAATTTTAACACCAGCTGATCGATCGATCGTTCTGCCGTTACAGCCGGCCGATCTGGTGAAATGGAAGCAAGTGGCCACCAGATTCAACGAATTAATTACCGAAGCCCCCGAGCAACTGCAGCTGAATGAAAATCGATCGTGCGAAATGGAATGCAGCAGGCTGTCCGTGGGCAGCGCCGGCAACGTGAGGAATAGAAACTTTCTTGCGGCTTAAAAAAAAAGATTAACAGCAGTGATGTTCGAAAAGTAATCTCCGGCGTGGTGGTTCTCTCGTCCAGAATTTCTTTTCTTCCTCGTGAGAGATCAAACAGATATGTGGTGTAAAATAGGAAGGAAATTCTCTTCCTTCTGCTCGCCGAAAGGGGAAAGGAAGATTTCGTGATCGCTAGTGCGAAAGGAAAATGATAAAGTACAGTGAAAACTGAAATACGGCTCGGGGAGATCGGAAGGATGGTGATATTGGGAGTAATTTGAACGTAATACCGCGAGCAAACTGACAACCCAGACGCGAATTTCGGCGAGACATATAATCTGACAATGAAACGAACTCGAATTGAACCTAATCTAAGTCCGGATGAAATTTAATTTAAAACTGATGTTGGTGGAGATCGAAGAAACATGCATATTCGTTTTAAATTGGATTCAATTCGAACTTCTAATTTAATTCTGAGTCCAGATCCAATCTAAATCGAATTTAAGTTCGAAGTGGATCCATTTGATACTTAAACTCGATTTAAATCAGATCTAACTTGTTTTACGTGTTTCGTGTTTTTCACGAGTAGGTATTGTTTAATAATTCGCGACTACACTGAATTTCAAGGTATTTAGCTGAAAATATATACCGTAATCCAACGTCGCGATACATCTTGCTATACGTCCACTGTTACGTTACATTATGCCACATCTACAACGGAGTAGTCCTTGTAGATCTAAAAATGGCTGTAATAAAACTGATAAGAGGCGAAGACGGAAGAAGCGATTATTCCGACAAAGCTTCTTTCCTCGATGAATTTCCTGCGTGGAAAAACTACGCCGGGGCGCACGATTTTAATAACAAATTTACACAAATGTCTTTTTCGTTTCAGGTTAGGTTGGAGAGATAACTGGAATTCTTGCCATGCCGTTATACGGCCCGGCCGGCGAGTGGACTTCATCCGGCAATTTCCAATTCGAATCGAAAGCACCCGGTATTAAACGGCATTAATACAAATGTACAACTCCTTCGTATGAATGTAAAAGAACCGCGTAAATTATTTGTATTTGCTCGCGCGACGACAATCCACAGAGTCGGTCGATATTTCCCCCCTTTCCACATTTCCTGTTGGAAAATCTTCCTCTCGAATGAAAAAAGGACGACATCCTGCTCCTCTTTTTTT